TAACGTACATTAAGCTGTATAACGTACATTAAGCTGTATACCATACATTAAGCAATATACCGTACATTAAGCTGTATAACGTACATTAAGCTGTATACCGTACATTAAGCTGTATACCGTACATTAAGCTGTATACCGTACATTAAGCTGTATACTATACATTAAGCTATATATCGTACATCAAGCTGTATCCCGTACATCAAGCTGTATACTATACATTAAGCTGTATCCCGTACATTAAGCTGTATAACGTACATTAAGCTGTATAACGTACATTAAGCTGTATACCATACATTAAGCAATATACCGTACATTAAGCTGTATACCGTACATTAAGCTGTATACCGTACATTAAGCTGTATACTGTACATTAAGCTGTATAACGTACATTAAGCTGTATAACGTACATTAAGCTGTATACCGTACATTAAGCTGTATACTGTACATTAAGCTGTATAACGTACATTAAGCTGTATAACGTACATTAAGCTGTAGTTGTTCTGGTGATTATAACTGTCCCTTTAGGGCATCAAGACTGCATTGTGGGAATTTTTCTCCCACCTCCCTCACCACTAATTACAGCATAACAAGAATCAGAAAATAGAAGATCGACACTGAAACAGTGCCTGTGTGAACGGCCTACAATGCCGCATAGTGACGGCAGTAATCAGATCACACGTTTAGGATTTAATATTTCCGCCATGATTTTCTGGCGTTATCCTCGGTATAGTCTACTCTATTAATCAATGGACATTGCCAATAATCATCCCAGCCTAAACAGTCTGGCTCCTGGGCACTCCTGGCACCATAACCACTACAGCTTGCATGAAGTGCTGCTTTAATACTAAAGCAGACGTACTATCGCTCGCACACCATTTTTACGAAGGAGTAGAACGTGTCAAAGAAGGAAATGAGTACTAAAAGAAAAAAACTTTTCGTAAACGGCAGCAAACAAACTTTACAGGACTTTGATAAACCGCCCTGAATCAGGGAAGCTCACCTCCTCATCAGACGAGTCATGCTCATACTCGTTACTCTGTGCTGAAGGGCCGCTCTGCTCCGACTGATTTAATGCTTTCCTGGGTCTGGAATTCTGAAACAGCAAGAGACATGATAAATTAACTATCCCGCACAAACGTACTACCACACTGTGCCGAGATCAGACAGTCGGTAAGGCGCGGGTACGACCGATCTTTTATTGTTACCTTTACGTTTAGGGTGCGTGTCTTCCCATGTTCTAATGTGTCTTCTTCCACACTGCCCTCCGCTTCCTCATCACTGCTTTCACTTCCAGAGCTTTCTAGGCCAGAGTAAACACTTTCTTCACTGTCGCTGAGATCCTCGCTGTCGCCATCACTCAGCACATCATCTTTCCCAAGTAAGAGGGTCTCCTGTAATGAAAACAAGGACATTAAAGACACCTAAATCACACCCAAGCCTTCAATCCGCATTCCCAATGACAATGTTTAATCTTCACGACTCTCTCACATAATCTCTCACACACGCACACACACACACATCTCTCTCTCACACACACACACACAGTCAGTCAGTCTCTCTCTCACGCACACAGTCTCTCTCTCACGCACACAGTCTCTCTCTC